CATAGATTTAATACTGTGTTAGAAACCATGTATATTACTTTTCTTGATAACATTTACTAGGACAACATTATATTTATAAATTCTCATTTTCCAGCGGAGACTATATTTCATCAATGGCTATGTGTCATAAAAATAGTCATACTTATCCTTTCTTTTAAAAATGTACAATAAAAATTTATTTGAAAATTAAAATATTTTCAAAACAGCTTTACTTTAAAATATGTTGTATGGAAGTCATACTCCTACTAAAACCACATAAAATGTCTTATTATTAACATGGAACAACCAATAAACCAATTCTTCTTAAAATGCTGTAGTTTATATTCTAAATGTATTCAATGATCTTAAAGAATGGTGTCTTAAACCTGAGTCATTGCTACTGCAAACACTTGCAGGCCATAAACTTGTCTTTTTTCTAACTTCCCTAAAATTTCAAAGGAGCATAAAAGGGTAAAGAAAGTAATATAACTGTTTTCAACTGTTCAGTTCTTTTTCAAACTGTTCAGTTCCTTTTCAATGTCCTTTAGTTAAAAATATATTACATGTATATAGTTTGTTCTGAGTAGAAAAGCCTTGACAATCTTTTACATTTTGCCTTTTGCCCCTTAGCATAATTAGCATAAACACTGCGAAAGAGAAACTAAATTTCTGTGGCCTTACACCTAGTTTTTAGCAATTAAACATGACAAAAAGAGACTTATTTCATTATTTTCCACATATGCAAATTGAATCCTTAAAAATAAAAATATTATTGACTTTGCACCTGTGCAAGTGTAAAAACAATGCAGGTTACAGATACAGACAGTGAATGAATGTAGACATGCCTTCCCTTACATGATATACGCCACATGAAAGGAGGTCGGGATGACCAACTTCTTTCACATTACTGTACTTCATGTCCCACTTGACAGCTTAGCTGCAGCAAGTTTTTGTTTTTAGTACAGTTCCATGTCCAGGTCTGAAGTTCTGTTTCCTTTAACTAAATATTTCAACTATGGCCGTTATAAATATGCATATCAACTTTCAAAATACTGGTAAATCCCAGTACCTTATATACCACTCAAAAAAAGTTAAGGACAACTTGGTTCTTTCATATTACTGTCGACAATCTGTCATGGTTGACAATAGTGATATGAAAGAAACAAGTGGTCCTCAACTTGTTAAACAGCTAAGATAGAAGAATTCTTTCATTCTTTTGATGGAGCAAGCTATCTAGACACTGCTTCAACTTTCTAGTTATCTTAGTTCAGTTGCTAGATAAACTACACACAACAGCTATATATCTATATACATTATTCTCATAAACCCTGTGATGTAAGTTGCTACAGACTGAGGTATACAAGTATTTCAAATCATACCAGCCAACTGTTATGCTAACTGGATGTTTTGTTTATTAACCAGTGCAGTGAATACCTATCCCTATGCTACTGTTGACAAGAACTTGCAATGTTGCTGTATACATGATATAAACAGTTAGTTACACAACTGGTGACAGATGCTTGTTAACATCAGATCTGTTACTTAGATGTATACCTTTCTATTACAGAAAACCTGAAGAAACACCCTTTCATCACATTTGGTGAACTTTCCAATCAGCCAGGGTCCTGATCCACAAACGTTCCTAGCGTTATGACCTGTCAAAACGCTATAGTTTATCATAGGCTTACGAATGATGTATCGCTACGAGTGAGTGAGTGAGTTGAGTTTTACGCCGCACTCAGCAATATTCCAGCTATATGGCGGCAGTCTGTAAATAATCGAGTCTGGACCAGACAATCCAGTGATCAACAGCATGAGCATCAATCTGTGCAATTGGGAACCGATGAAATGTGTCAGACAAGTCAGCAAGTCTGACCACCTGATCCCGTTAGTCGCCTCTTACGAGTTCAGTGTCACGATAATGTAAATAGAAATGCAAATGCTATGGAAATTATACAATGTTGTGTTACATACTCCACAAAAATAAGTCAAATATAAATTTGCAAACATAAAACTATAGTTGTATGAAAACAAAATCAATTGGGTTTTCTTCACTTTTTTTAATAGTACACATTTTTTTGAAAATATTTACATTCGCGTAACCTTGATTCGTGAATTTAAGGGATGTGCGGGGAAATTCATATTTTAAATGCATGATTTCATTTTGTATATGCACTGATTATTTTATTCATTGATTCAGCAAATTGAAAATGCCTAATATTACACTCATGAATGAAATGTTTGTTTACCGAATCCATTTGAAATCATCACCCATTCGTGTGCCCACAAAATGTGACATCACCTTGTTTCATGGATTACATAGTCAGTTACTTTATACGACATCCCACTGCAGCAAGTATTGACACCAAGGAAAGCAGACAATGAGAAGCGAGAAAGTTGGAGCTAACAGTATCTTTTTAACTTGACATTTTGTGAAAATAAAATTTGGCAATGGTGGTATTAGTGATCTGGGGCTATTTATCTCAGTGCTGGACAATTAGATTTAGTGTACTTGCGTGTAATGCAGAGATTCAGAACTTTTTTGTCAGTGAGGCGTGGCATTCTATGTACATCAAAAGTACCTCTTCATGATGTCAGTCGAGACTTAATTTACGAGCTAGCATGATAATTACTGCAATCCACGAATCAAGGTTATCCACGAATTTAGGTTATGCTTCTGTACACACTGTTGTTTTTGAGTCTGCAATTCGAAACAGTGTACTCCCTAGGGAATACCTATGTTTGACGCCGATGTTTTATTACGAAATATCTGAATTAAAGTGGTAAGAAAACCAAATCGTTGACCGACACCTGATTGGCTCAAGAAACCAAGCACCATTAATTGAGATTGTGCAGTGATGACTCACAGAGTGTTCTGCCACGATCTTCATGTAGAGGTATAACATCCAAGTAACACACCTGCTTTCAACGAGACTGCTAATGACATTTCAAGTAATGCCAAGTGAAATTAAAGGTTATCGCATGACTATAAATTCTTAATAATTTATCAACTTTCATGTAAATATGGCGTATGCTCTGAAATACTCTAACAAGTCAAACATGTAAAATAGCCTCAATAGGTAAACATGGTTATACTAAAATCTGTCTAAAATGTCACAAGATGTGAATACACATCTAAAATCTTACCCTTGCTCAATAATTAACAGACAACATTATATAAGAATCTTGATGAGGGTACAGATGTATTTGTATTAAATACCTACAGTCAAACATCAGTAGATGAGTTTTCTCAACAATACAATGACACAGTCTACAACGACCCTAAAAGGATTTTTTTTTCTCTAAAATTTGTCATTTTTCACAAACATCTGTATGAAATACTGTTGAACACAATGACAGTTGGAAGTCTTAAAAACATAATTAAAGAAGTTAGTATGTTAAACAGAATTTGATTTCACTAATTTAACAAATATGAGACCAAGACTGAGAAAAATAATTAACAAAATGCCATGGTAACCCTTTGTAAATGAAAGTTTTGGAACTGGATTTCTTCTGTAAAGTGTCCACATAACATGTGTCAGAGCTAAACTTTAAATACAGACGTTTACCAATAATTAACATTATTAAAAGACATGCATGAATAAAATTAGTTAATATGATTAGAAATATATAGAAAATCAGCCAATTAGAGTACCCTAAATTTAAAACTTACACATCTTGTTAAAATGGTCTACAAAAGCAATCATATTCAATCGCCCGTCGTCAATGGCAGCTTAACTGAAAAGCATTACAAGGGTACCCCGGTAGTATGGGAAAGAAACTGGAAGACCTACAGGGTATCTGCACCCACATAAAGGCCTCTCTGGTGTTGAAATCAAGGCAGAATTAATGGGACATACCACTAGCAAAGTTAAGGACCATCTGATTCTTCAATATTACTAAAGTTAAGCATTCATGAGTGAGTGAATGAGCTGGGTTTTACTCCACTTTTAGTAATATTCCAGTAATACCACTGCAGCGGACACCAGAAATTGGCTTTAAACATTGAACTTATGCGGGGAATCAATTTTAGGAGCTCAGCATAACGAGCAGACACTTTAATCACTAGGCTACCTCAAGCCCCTGTTAATGCCAGGCAGTAAATGAATTAATATGAAAGACTCAAGTGGTCCTCAACGTTTTCCAGTCATATATTATTGCTGCTTCCAAAACAATTTACTTCGAGTTAATTCATTCGGAAGCAAATCATAGGACGTAAAAGTGATGTGCTAAAAATCGTTTTTCACACAAAAGTCTTGAAAGTAAAAACTTAAACCTGATTAATCTTTTAAAAAAATTACAGTTCTGAAACAATTTGTTGTTTCTGCTAAAATAACGACATTATGTTCTCGATGAAAAATAAACAAAGACAAAAGGGTATCCATGGTAACCAAATTTGAATCCGATCTTCACTGGAAGCCCAACGACAACACAAAGATATTGCACTAGGGTTATCTACATGTTACATGTATTCCTAGCAAAACCTACTTTCAAATACTGTGGAAGTAAATTCATTGATTTAATAATCATAGAATGATGAACAGTGTGAAGTTCCTTTCCTTCGAACAATATGAGGCTGCATCAACTGGCCATACAGAGACACTAACACTGTACTTTCCCCCCTAAAATAGCTGACAGAAATATTAACGAACCCACAAAAAGTTAACTCTCAATAGTATGAAACTCAACTGGAAAATAAATATATCATATTATATAACCGTTCACTATGTGCAATTAATTTTCAACAGTTCATACAAAAAAATCAAATGAATTTAAGAAGGTTAAATTCACATCGTTCATATACTATTTTTAGATAATGAGTAATCAACTACACATATTCCAGCCTGTGCCAAAACCACAAATCTACTGGTCCAAACGTTGTCTGTCTGCAATGTTTACTCAGCCTGCACAATCAACATATACTAACCAAAACCCTCCTTCCTTATAGCTTACTCTTTACTGGAGTAGTGTATAATCAAGATTTACTATCCTACCATATGGCTTATTCAATTTCATTTTGACTAGTATAATCCAGATATACTAGCCTTCCGCATAGCTGATTCTATTACATATTGACAAGTACCCGGTATAATAAAGATTTACTAGCCTTCCGCATAGCTGATTCTATTACATATTGACAAGTACCCAGTATAATAAAGATTTACTAGCCTTCTGCATCGCATATTCTATTACATATTGACATTACATATTATAAAAGTTTATAATCCAGATTACTTGCCTACCATATAGCTTTTTCTATTACATATTAACAAAATCGAGATGTTAACAAATATAATCCAGATTTACTTGCAAAATCTATGCTTCAGTACTGTTATTTCCATTACATATAAGTTATTTGTTTAATCTATATGTACTAGGCCAAACTAGTCTTCATCATAATACTATTCATATGGACTAGTTTAGTAATCCAGATATACTAGCCCAAGACAATTTTTGTGTAAAGACAATCATTACACTCAAATTTGACATGGACCAAATGATACAATCACTGTGAAGCAGGGACCAGGCTCTGATTTCTCGAAACAAACTTAAGTCTGAGTTTTTACTCAAACTTGAGAAAACGCAGGAAAATGCATTTCCCAGAATAAACTGAAATCAATATTAAACTCAAACTTAGTAGACAATTTGAGTTTGGTTGATAGATTACTTAAGTTGTTAGGGCTTTTTTTATTTAAAAAATGCGGTTGAGTTAAAAATTCAGCTGTTTCAAATTGTCAAACTTTGAAATTTGAGTAAAAACTTAAGTTTGTTTCGAGAAATCGGGGCCAGATTTATTAGCCCAAACAGAATGAGACCTACATTCAATTTGGACTTGAGGACAGTGGTGCAAGGCACAGTCTGGAGTTGAAATTTCCTGCACAATGTTACATGGCAACTGTAAACTTCATGACAGAGTGTGCAGTTGTATTATCAGACACTGTAGATAGTTAAATAGCACTAATAGCAACAAGAATATCCTTCAATATATCTTTGTACAGAGGGAATCTAGGAGTTTACTAACAGAACAAATGGCTAGGCCACTATGAGACTTGATAAGCACATTCTCTCTTTTTCTTTTCAACAAATTGATAAATGACAACTCTGAAATGTAACATGGCCAGTACTTCATGGGTTTGTGTGTTGTACGTTCCTCTAGAACCTGTCAATACCCTTACAACATATGTTGTGAATGCACGTTTTTTAACCATCCAATCAAGCCATGACCTGGCCTCACCGATAAGGAACAGTGAGCACTCCCACCGATGAGCATTCACCTTACATCGCACAAATGGTGAGTGTGTTGTTCTGCTGCTTTTAGAAAAACTTAGAGCTGTGACGATGTATCAATAGTATCGATAATCGTGATACTTTATCTGACAATAAATATATCAATACTTTTTTTTCGTATCGTGATATGTATTGTTGACCTTAGAGTAGTGAATTTTCACTAGAAATTGACGATTATGTTGAAATTTACACTGTTACTTGCTATCAAAATATACTTGTTTAAGAAAATAACTAAGGATAGCATATCGTGATATGCATCGAATCGAATCGTATTGTTACTCCTCTAGATACGTTTCTGTATCGTCACACCTCTAGAAAAAATCCATCAATATACGGCAGGGGACACCAGAAATTGGGTTCACATTTTGTACCCATGTGGGGAACCAAACCCATGTCTTTGACATGTGTTCTTTACTTGTTTTGAGTAGTATACATTTACATGTCTGGCGTTCGGGTTACTCTACACACCGATTTAACACCAGGCAATTGTGGAGTGAGTGAGTGAGTTTTATGCCGCACTCAGCAATTGTGAAGTCCCAAAAGGATACACAAAGTTTAGCTCATCTGACGCTATTCACTCTTACACAGAAACATTTGATTGGTTTTCAACACATTTCATGACTATACTGACAATATATTAACAGAAGATGGGTGAACGAAGTGTTTACAAACCCAAGAAGTACTGGCGATGATGATGTAAATGATACTCCTAAACAGGAAAGCACTGCATACACAGTTCTGTTGACCGGTATCACAACAATGGTCTGATATAATCAGCCCCCAAAAATATACATAGTTTACACTAAATGTACATCCTCAGATTTCTATGTACAAATTAACAAAACACTACTCTCTTTTTCAAAACTTCCTACTGCAAGACAATATGCATTGAGTGTCCAGTACAATGAGATTCCATTCTTTGCTAAGCTAATCCTGCTTCTCCGTGAGATCACTTCAGTGTCAGTGAAAACACTCAAGAGTTAGCTCCCTTTGCATAAGAACTGCAATCTCGGAAAAATTTACAAACTGCATAGTTGATTATGTAATATAGCTGTCTTTATGGGGGCAATGTTATGCTAAATTCACTGAGGTCTGTCCGTCCAACCATCTCGGGATTCCTCACAACTCGTCCATCAAACATGGAATCATCTCAAACCGTTTTTTGTTTCGATTTAAGGTCTCTGCGAGTCCTTTCTCTCCGTCTTATTAAATATCACAATATCGCAAGACATAATATATACAACTCTTGCTCGTCCATGATATGGCACAGTGGTTTGTTAAGACAGGGGATGATCACTTTCACTTGTTTGAGAGTTCGGGGAGCTCCCGATCTGGTCCAGCAAATCACACACATATGCTCCAACATCCACTTCCATTTCTTCGTACCTTTTGATAAACTTGTGCTCCTGTGAAAAACAAGCTCAGTTCACTACAAGGTATGTTTCCTGGTGTTATAGTGAAAGAGTGAGTGAATGGGGTGCAATACAACAGTCGGCAAAATTCCAACTATTTAACTCTCACAGTGGTCTGTACTTAATTTACCACCTCCGTGGTGTAGTGGTTAGAGCGTCCGCCCGGAGAGCGGAAGGTTGTGGGTTCGATCCCCCGACCTCGTCATACCAAAAGACGTTAAAATATGGTACTTGTTGGTCCCTGCCTGGCGCTCGGCATTAATGGGTACAACAAGGACTGGTCGGCTCGGAGTCAGTATAATGTGTCTGAGTTGGGTATTTCTGCTACACTGCGGCATGGTATCTCAGTGGGCTAGCACTATAAAACCAGCTTCAGTCTGGGCTAGTACAAGCAGCCGCACATACACATACACGCATGCACGTCGTCATATGAGCGAAATATTCTCAAGCACACGACGTTAAACCCAATTTCACCTCATCTCACCTGTACTTAATTAACTGGTCCAAGCAAATCACTGATTACAACAATATCTATAAGTATGAGGAACTGATTCTCTTTATTTGCTCTTTCAGCAAGCATGATAAACTTGGGCCTGGACCTACCTTGGTTTGAAGGAGTTTATGTCAAAAGGACATGTCACCTTCAATACTATTTCCCTTAAAAGTGTGTGGATGCTGGTACTATTTGTTTGTTGTTTAATCCCGTACACAGCAATATTCCAGCTATAGGGTGGTCGTCTGTAAATAATCCAGCCTGGAGCAGATAATAAAGTGATTGACATAGTGACCATCAATCTACGCAATTGGGATACGATGACATGTGTCAACCAAGTCCGCTAGCCTGACCACCCAATCCCGTTAGTCACCTCTTGTGACAAGCACGGGATGCTGAAGATCCATTCTAAGCCAGATGTTCAGAGGTCCTGCTTGTACTAGACCAGACTAATGCCATTTTTCCAGCGCTACCCAACTGAGATACCCCACGCGAGACAGTACACTGATCAGTCCCTGTATTATCCCCCTTCTGTTAAATGCCAGACAGGCTAAAATTTGTAGCATTCATTAATAATCAAAGAGTTCTTACCAACAATTTGTTGTATTTTGGCCTCTGTTTTTCATCCTTGGTGAGACTGAAACATAAAATGGTATCCACACAATGGCTTGTCGAAAGTATCTGACACAACACTTATGTTAACATCCTTCACAGTTTAAGCGGTATTCCAGAAAATGTAGCATCAGTGAAGAGAACTAATATACATCGAGAGAACTAATGTACATCGAGAAAACTAACATACATCGAAGCGTCTTTATTGATGCGATGATTTGCTACAGGTGTAAGTAACTTTATCAGCCAAATGACCCACCAAAAGGATGGGACATGGTTATAAACCAAGTGACTCGCCAACAGGATGGGACATGGTTATAAACCAAGTGACTCGCCAACAGGATGGGACATGGTTATAAATCAAATGACTCGCCAACAGAATGGAACATGAAGGATGAGGACTATTTTTATGGATATGCAACTTCTTTATTCTGTATAGGCGACGTTTCGACATAGATTCTAATGTCGTTATCAAGCACGTTTCGACATAGATTCTAATGTCGTTGTCAAGCAAGTGATCACTTGCTTGACAGCGACAGAATCTATGTCAAACGTCTACCTATACAGAATAAAGAAGTTGCATATCCATAAAAATAGTCCTCATCCTTCATCTACCCAACTTCTAGAATGCCAAACAAAGAAGAATGGAACATGGTTATAAACCAAATGACTCGCAGACAGAATGGAACATGGTTATAAACCAAATGACTCGCAGACAGAATGGAACACGGTTATAAACCAAATGACTCATTGGAACACGGTTATAACCAATTACTGATGGTTTTACTTTTAGCAATATTCCAGCAATATCAGAATGGAACACCAGAAATGGGCTTATAAATTGTACCCAAATGACTCTTAATTGCTGACGAGACAGAATGGAACCGCCGAACACGGTTATAAACCAAATGACTCGCAGACAGAATGGAACACGGTTATAAACCAAATGACTCGCAGACAGAATGGAACATGGTTATAAACCAAATGACTCGCAGACAGAATGGAACACGGTTATAAACCAAATGACTCGCAGACAGAATGGAACACGGTTATAAACCAAATGACTCGCAGACAGAATGGAACACGGTTATAAACCGATTCACCCACCAACAGGATGGAACACGGTTATAAACCAAGTCACCCACCAACAGGATGGAACACGGTTATAAACCAAGTCACCCACCAACAGGATGAAACACGGTTATAAACCAAGTCACCCACCAACAGGATGGGACACGGTTATAAACCAAGTCACACTCCAACAGGATGAGACACGGTTATAAACCAAGTCACCCACCAACAGGATGGGACACGGTTATAAACCAAGTCACCCACCAACAGGATGGGACACGGTTATAAACCAAGTCACCCACCACCAACAGGATGGGACACGGTTATAAACCAAGTCACCCACCAACAGGATGGGACACGGTTATAAACCAAGTCACCCATCAACAGGATGGGACACGGTTATAAACCAAGTCACCCACCAACAGGATGGGACACGGTTATAAACCAAGTCACCCACCAACAGGATGGGACACGGTTATAAACCAGTCACCCACCAACAGGATGGGACACGGTTATAAACCAAGTCACCCACCAACAGGATGGAACACGGTTATAAACCAAGTCACCCACCAACAGGATGGGACACGGTTATAAACCAAGTCACCCTCCAACAGGATGGGACACGGTTATAAACCAAGTCACCCACCAACAGGATGGGACACGGTTATAAACCAAGTCACTCACCAACAGGATGGAACACGGTTATAAACCAAGTCACCCACCAACAGGATGGGACACGGTTATAAACCAAGTCACCCACCAACAGGATGGAACACGGTTATAAACCAAGTCACCCACCAACACGATGGGACATGGTTATAAACCAAGTCACCCACCAACAGGATGGGACACGGTTATAAACCAAGTCACTCACCAACAGGATGGAACACGGTTATAAACCAAGTCACCCACCAACAGGATGGAACACGGTTATAAACCAAGTCACCCACCAACAGGATGGGACATGGTTATAAACCAAGTCACCCACCAACAGGATGGGACACAGTTATAAACCAAGTCACTCACCAACAGGATGGAACACGGTTATAAACCAAATGCCACCCACCAACAGGATGGGACACGGTTATAAACCAAGTCACCCACCAACAGGATGGGACACGGTTATAAACCAAGTCACTCACCAACAGGATGGAACACGGTTATAAACCAAGTCACCCACCAACAGGATGGGATATCATTATTTATAAGTGACCAACCAACAAAACCAACAATCCACGCCACTGGGGCATGATGACCCTCTATCAATAAAGTCATCAAGTTTAACCTCCCTCTCTATCTGGGTGACTCTTACAACCTGCACAAGAACTGAACAAGAAGATAGAAGCCAGCCTGAGCAATGTCAGAAGACTGTGTGTACTCACCATGTGCCAATGAAGTCATGGAAGTCATCAGAGAACCTCTCTCTGGGTCTCAGTTTTGGGGGTGGACCCTGCACCACCTGTGTGAGCTGTTCAAACACACTCGTCCACTTGGGATACGGAAACTGCCCTGTTGACAGCTCCATCTGAAAGAAAAGTCAATTAGTTTATGAGATTCGGGCACTTCCAAGTCTTTTCAGTCCTCACGCAACAATGGAACTCAAGTTTGGGCAAAGATATCAAGATGCTCAGAAACAGTTGGGTGTATAATATTTGCTGCAACGTTATGTTGCTGCCCTAATTATTTACATCTGGGTCTAAAAATTTTCAAGGTACTTTTGGACTGACTGACTGAGTTTTGGTTTTACGACGCTTTTAGCAATATTCCAGCAACATCATGCTGTGGACACCAGAAATGGGCTTCACTGATTGGAATGTGGGGATTGAACCCAGGTCTTCAGCATGTCACTTTAACCACTAGGCTTCTCAAGGCCTTTTGGAGATTCAGAGAACAGATATGCTGTGCTCATTTTAGATTGACACTGTCACCTTCAGCTGTCACAACCACCTCTTCTCAAGGCCTTGTTAGAACTTTATATTTGATCGTTAGTATCAAAAAAAATCTCACTTCAGGTATCAATCTACCCCCTAAATTCTGGCAGGACTAATATTTTTTTTCTTTTGATGAAACACTAATGATAATTATTGTGGAGAGGCATTATCACCATTATCAATAAAGAATAGATGGCTAATAATGTGTGCATGTAATCATACAAAAGTCTCTTCAATCAGTCCATGTACTCCTGGAAAATATGTGTCTAAAAATGACCATTTTCTTCAAAACGTGACAGCTAATTGGCTGACAATAAGTAAGCAGTCAACCGGAAGCAAGCTTAATTTGTATAAGATCTTGGTTTCTGTTGTGTTATTATTATAATATAGCAGTCGAGATGCGCCCAGAAAGTGAAATATCCCAGACCAGTAAGACTCACCTGTGTAACCTATATACAGTAACAACAAACCAGTTTGAATAATATTTGTGGCATTAACTTTTATAAGGGACTCATTTATTTCTTTTCTAAGATGCCAAATGTAATACTTTCTAAGGATAATTACGATTAATTTAAGGCAGAAAACAAACGACGGTGTCGGTGACCTAAATTAAGAATGCTCGCACAGGGCTAACTGGCGCGCTGTTCTATTGATGTGTCTGCCCCCCTACGTTAAGACGAACGTTACCAGAAAAAACCCAAATGATAACAGTTTGATGACGGTTTACGTTCGGATTAAATATCTTCTCTGAATTACTTAATTACAGCTGTCATTAACGTAAACCATATGGGGCAATATGAACGTTGCATTTCTACTACCAACGTAAGTTTACATCAGTACATCCAGATGAAGCTGAGTGGAAAGCGACATTCCACGATTGCATTGTGGGAATGTAAACATTGCGAACGTTACCGTGTCGCTGAAAACTAGTGAGTCGAATTGACACATTTAACCGTCGTAAAACATAAACGTAATGTTTTCACCAGTGTTGTTAGCTGCGTGAAGCAACGGCAAACCAAGAAACGTGATACAACGGAGTAGTTTAGTGTAGGAGGCGATGACAACTGACATGCATCGTGACGTCGCTTACATTGTGACGTAATGTAAAATGGTTCGATTACAAGGGGGCAGACTAAAATGATGCAGTGACAGGATAACGTCATTCAATTGTTACGTCAGCAAAAAACTATACCTTTATTGTCTGATAATGTATTTTTTTTTGATTGTTTTAACCGCTAGGCATCTTAGAATTCAGAATGGACTCATTGATATTCAACTCAGCCGACAGTTTAATTTGTAGATTTATCACTGGACTTTAATTAGATTGGTTTCCTGATAAGGCACTGGTCACCTATCCTGTTGCAGAATCCAGATAAAAGGATGAAGGTACATACTAGTGTGATGCCTAAACTCCACACATCAGACCGCACATCGTAGCCCCTGTGGGAAGCTTTAGGATCTATCCTCTCCGGCTGTGAAAAGAGCATAAAGTGGGTTACTAAAGTTTCTAGCCAACTTTATCGGAGAACAATTCCTAGCATGTTAGTGTGCATCATCTTGAGGGGGAGGGTGGGAAGACAATTAAAATCAAACGTTCAGTAAGAAATATGCCCCAGACTTATAGTCTGTTGGCAGTGATGGACAAAGTTTAACAAAGAGTTTTGTGATGAGAAAAGGAATGATTATTCGACTGTGCTCAATAAAGAGTTGACAAAAAAATAGATACAAATCAAATGGAAGTTCCCTTTAGACATTACAATGATGTAAGCCAATTTTGAGTTGTTAAGACTATCAGAATACCAATTAAAGAAAACATACTGATAGAACGAAGCTTGAACTTCCTGTTTCTAAAGCATGTGAAGATGATTGACACTTGGAATCATGTTTGAACTTGTAATGACTTCTGTAATTTTAAGGCATTAATCATGCTATTCCTGACAAATATTTTCTTGCATACTCACAGCCATGTAAGGTCGACACCCTGCATCTCTGCTCTTAGCTATGGAGTCTACGAGCTGCCCACTAATGCCAAAATCACAGAGTTTGATGCTGCCCTTTCTGTCCAGCAGAATGTTGGAGGGCTTTACATCTGAAACACACAAGTTAACAACAGTAATGGCCTGTGTTTTACTTTAACCTGCAAAACTAGGGATCCTGGAGACCCTGAAGGGTTCCGTTCAGTAATGAAATGGTGTAGACTACTGTAACCATTAATAATTTATTTAATCATGGAAGAATTATGTCGAGAATTTGGTGCAGTGAATATTATTAAACATCCTCAGGATGCTTTACATATATTTTTCTGCTTTAAATCTATACATTGATTATACTGGACACACATTTCTGCATCACGTGAGACTCTGCATTTGTGTTATGATTATTGTAATAATGATTTACGTATTTCGCATGTATTACAAAATATTGCAAGCATAATGCACAGATTTCATACTGGTGTTTATTTTTAAATTTGCCACTTGAATAACAAGACGAAACTGTGCATGATTTTGATAAATGCAAGATACATGTCTTTTGCAAATGTTAAGACATATTTACGCAAGTGTTTTGGGGCTATATATTCAATTCTTATTCAATGTTATATAAAAGTCTCTAAATAATCGATAAATCCAGACAACTGATACCATGATTACTGACTCAAGACGTTGGTGTATGTTGACACACTATCACTCAGTCACTGAGTGTGAGTGAGCGAGTATGGTTTTACGCCGCTTTTAGCAATATTCCAGCAATATCACGGCTGGGGACACCAGAAATGGGTTTCACACCTTGTACCCATGTGGGGAATCGAACCCGGGTCTTTGGCGTGACGAGGCTACCCCACCGCCCCAGTCACTGAGTGTGACCACCCAATCCACTAAGCGGCTTCATACAACCACTAGTCACTACAACACGGAATCTCCTTCAGTCAATAACTAACACAATTATAGACAAATTTTACTCACCTCGATGAATGATCTTTAATTTTTCCTTCAGGTAATTTAATGCTTTGACAGTCTGTAAAGGAAAACAGAAAATAATCAGATAGTAAATAATAACTGCAAAGAAGAAACAAATGAGAATGTGTAAGCCTCGCATCACAAAAGATAAATGTGCATAACCGTAAGTAGATGCCAGAATTTTACCAAGTAAAGATGATAGTGAATTTCACTTCCCCAAAGCCTCCCTCCTTCAAAGATTTAATTTTGTACACATAATATGTGATAGCTTCTTGAACAACCTTGTTCCAGTGACAAGTACAATGAGAGTACGGGTTTTACGCCGCTTATACCAATAATCCAGCAAAATCACAGCTGGTGAAATTGGCTTCACACATTGTACCCATGTGGGGAATTGAACCAGTGCCTTCGGTGTGACTGCTGACTGAGTATGGTTTTACGCCTCTTTTAGCAATATTCCAGCAACATCACCAGAAATGGGCTTCACACATTATACCCATGTGGGGATTTGCCTTCGGTGTGATGAATGCTTTAACCACTAGGCTACCCCACAGATGAGTACAGAGTTACATCAACAACTTACGGCAACTGTTGTTTTCCCTAATATTTCTTCTGGTATTGAGCTGATCAACTCCCCATACACAAAGCGGTAGAACTTGTCTAGAGACACGTCCATTAGCTCCATGCATATCCAACAATCTCCCTGCAAAACATACAAGATAAAATTATTAAATGTGAAAAAATCTGAATAACATGCTATCACATAAGAAATATTCCAACAAAATGACTTCACTGGAAATAATTTGTGGACCAAACAAACCAGTGACTGACGTTGTGACTGTTTGGAGGATGGTTTTGTACCCCCCAACCCCCACCCCTCCATTGATGAATATTCTGCATCATCCTCATGTTGGTGTCTTTGAATGGCATCCTCATGTTGGTGTCTTTGAATGGCATCCTCATCTTGGTGTCTTTGAATGGCATCCTCATCTTGGTGTCTTTGAATGGCATCCTCACATTGGTGTCTTTGAATGGCATCCTCACATTGGTGTCTTTGAATGGCATCCTCACATTGGTGTCTTTGAATGGCATCCTCATGTTGGTGTCTTTGAATGGCATCCTCACGTTGATGTCTTTGAATGGCATCCTCATGTTGGTGTCTTTGACTGACTGAGTGAGTTTGGTTTTACGCCGCTTTTAGCAATATTCCAGCAACATCATGGTGGGGGAACACCAGAAATGGGCTTCACAAATTGTACCCATGTGGGGATTCGTACCCGGGTCTCGGGTGTCTTTGAATGGCATCCTCCATGAGCCAACGCTTTAACCACTAGGCTACCCCACCGCCCCTGGTGTCTTTGAATGGCATCCTCACGTTGATGTCTTTGAATGGCATTTAGGGTGAAGGAGTATGGTCTCAACCAGTGTGTAGCAATAGTCCAGCACTTTCACCCCAGAGAACACCAGATGTGGGCTTCACACATTGTACCCATTGTGGGGATTTTAAACCCGGGTTGTCAGCATGACCAACGAACGTTTTAACCACTAAGCTACCCCACTGTTCAAATGGCATTTAGATGTGTCATACACATACAGGAGAGGAATTTATGGATGTCAACTTCTTCATGATAATTATAAACTACATATTATACACAGAACTGGTCCCATAGATAATGAGGTTTAACAGTGTTTCATAATTGGTTGCAAATTTATAACATGTACTGATTCAAAAGAGTGAGTGAGTGAGCATGGTTTTTCACCATTTTAGCAATATTCCAGCAATATCACGGCAGGGGACACCAGAAATGGGCTTCACACATTGTACCCATGTGGGGAATCGAACCCAGGCCTTCAGCATGACAAGGAAATACTTCAACCACTAGGCTACCCCACCGCCCCAATTCAAAAGAACCTTTATAGCACAAATCAGGAAACATGACAACCCACCTCTTTGAACAAAGCACCATAAAATTGCACGATGTATTTACAGTCATTGGCCCTCATGACCACATCCAGGTCCATGAGGAGCTGACGCTGCTCCTTCTCGTCTACAGTCGAGCGGATCCGCTGCAAGCCAAACACAACATATCCATGTCAGTATACATTCAACCTTCAACCTCTTACAAATCAAACACAAGTCTCTATTTTATTCATTTGATTTAACGCTGTACAGTTAATTCTGAGTCTGGGCCAAGCAAACCTGTCACTGACGTTGCCACAGTCAACATGGTCAGCCATGATGGTTTTACAACCATACGATCATTATATCATTCAGTCGCTCTTTGATCAAAGGATAAGTACCTGGTGACCTACTCAACCAGAATCCCTTGAGCCATCAAAATAAATGAGCCGACATCTTGCAGATTTTATCCAACCAGTAGCTATGTAGCATGGATTTAAATTTTTAAATTTGTTTGCTTCCTTGTAACTAAGTGGGCACAGGTAATATTGTAGAGTCAGTGGTCATCAGGCAACACCAAAATTTGTGAAGCTATTTTTCTCTTTATCAAGAGAACAGGTGAATCGTGAACAGGGTGAGGGAGTAAAACATAATTTTACACAGTTTTTGTGCTTATTCAATATTAAGGGGACCCTTTTAAAAATGGATTTATCTTTTTTTTTTAAATTAAACAACCAGATTGTCCTGGCCACACACAGTTTTCATAAGAGACAAATGAGTTATGAATAAAGCAGGTGTGTCCTTGAAGAAAATAATTTCTACAAAAAAAAGAAACCAACAAAATTGCAAATGAAACCATAAAACAAAACTTGAACACACTATGTTGATACTGACATGCAATTGTCCTAATACAGAACAAAATATGTGGATGCCAGTATATAACTTTTGCAGCAAGAAACAGACATCAGAACTGATACAAAATACATCAAAATTTATTTGAAAGGGCAAAAAGAGCAATATACAATACCCTAACACCAACTACACACAAAGAATTATTTTAGTGGTCTGCACTTTGTATGACTACTGAGTTATTTCCCTTAGTTAATAAAGTACATTCTGGTCAAGTAAAACAAAAAGGCATGCATTATGATTCAGAAATAGACTTGCCCTCATCATTAGAACATTAATGTTTTAAGGTGTAAACATGATGCAATGTCATTTTCATCTCTAATCCGGAAAACTACACATGCACCGCTATAGGATAAAAGTGTTTACATTTTTGGGTCCTGCATACTGGCAAAACAGGACAAAAGCATGCCAGAACAACACAAAAGACATGTTTCCTTAATTTGGTGTCTTGAACACAAAAACAAGCAGCTCTCAAGCATTCAATTAAATACACAAATGATGAAATCAACAAACACACAAATTGCAAATTTCATGCTGCCTGTAATGTAATATATTAGTAACAAAAAACAACAACAGTACTACTTTTAGTTTAGCTAAACCACATCCAAAAACATTACACTACACAATTAATTTCTCTAATTAAAGTATGACATTATTCGAATTTGTTAAAGCAGTTGTAACTAAAGGGGAACTCAAAGACGTTAATTTTGAGTGATGATGCAAATAAACAGTGAAAACCAAAAAACAACATCAACAAAGACAAAACATCCACAACGAACACACATCTATTCATGCAACTAACAGGCTCATTCCAACACTGGCATGCTTGTTCAAAATTAATCGCATGATACATGTTTCCATTTCCCTGATCAATTTCAAAACTACATGCAAACAACAACAGTGTTAGTGATGTCTGTTTGGACCAAAGTGCAAGGAAATCGAATACAATGTAGTGGCCAACGGGCCCCTTTCATTAAATTGACACAAAAGTGTCGGAAGGAGTAGACATGCATACAAGAAGTTAGCTGAACGTGCAGAGGTGTGAGGCACATTTGGAACGGCCAATCTTCACTCAATTCATACCTTCACTGCCATAATTGTGTCACTTCTGTCATGAAGCATTTTATTTACAACGCCATAATTGCCTCGCCCTATCTCTCCCAAATCAGTTAAATCGTCAGCTGTGAAATCAAATGTCTGAAAAAACAATGCAGAAAACATACCTTTACTGCCATGTTTGTGTTACTCTTGATATGAACCATTTTATTAACAGTGCCATAATTCCCTCGGCCTATTTCCCCATAATCGGCTAAATCATCAGCAGTGAAATCATAAATCTGAAAAACAAACAGGATTTCATTTTGTGATGTTGTTTGCATCTCGCAACAGTTTCACGGATGATTGAGGTACTCGATGATGTTATCACAGGTGTTGCTGAGACTGGTGATGATGAGGATGATGATGGGATTCGGGATTTTCACCATAGTCAGCCGTGTTACAGCTACACAATGGCGATGCTCCTATGACGAACCAGCGGTTGATTGGCAATCCATGAAATGATTATATTATTACGAAATTAGCCAGACTAAAGCACAATATCACCATATAAACTGACTGACTGACTGAGTTTGGTTTTACGCCGCTTTTAGCAATATTCCAGCTACATCACGGCAGGGGACACCAGAAATGGGCTTCACACATTGTACCCATGTGGGGATTCGAACCCGGGTCTTCGGCGTGAGGAGCCAACGCTTTAACCACTAGGCTACCCCACCACCCCCCTCCATATAAAGGACACCTTACTCCATTCAGGGTCAACGATCAGTTACTGTGACACTGAAAACAGAATGACGCTCTGGAAATCCTTCCTCGTCACAATCGTGTATGGAGGTGACCGTCGGACAGACATCAGGGTATCCAACTGGTCCACAGCTTAGCTTATTTCTTACAAATTGCTTGTGTGAAAGAAGATATTGTACAGAAAATCACTAATCCATCTCAATTTTTACTAGCCTCGACTAATAGGTGAGTAGTTGTTTTTTTGGCCCTGTGGCCAAAGCACTGGCTCTTCACTTTGTTCAGTTTCTTTTTCTCACACTGATACAACAAGTGAACTGATTCTTGAAGTTCCCAGGTGAGCTACAGCTAGAATTATGCCGAAAGAGTTGTTACAAAACCAAGTCTGGCAACCTACTACAAAGCAGTATGATGTGGATGACGATGAAGACATTTCTGCATTCTGGTAAAATCATGAATCAGTAAAAAAAAAAAACATATATAATTTCATTTCTCTTGAATATAATATTTCCCCCTTATATCATTTCATCAATAACAAAACACATGTAATGATTAAGAATGGAAAAGTGACAAAATTGTTAAGATTTATATCTTATCTATATTAATCATGGTAATTTAACTTCAACCTCAGAGTTCAATTACACTGGTCTTTTATAAGTCTTTCATTTAGAATTTGGAACAATATGAAAATAAGAGATACTTATCATGTACATAGATAATACCTACCTGTTCAGGAGAAATCTGCAATTTTCCAGTAGACTTTTCCAAATTACCTCGTGAACGAATTCTTTCACTGAAAATATATTAAATATGTCCATAAAAATTAAAAGTTTTGACAAACTATTTTTTAACTTTGGCAGAAGAGGACAATACATTACCAATTACACTACAATTTCTGCAAACACATCAAATATTGAAGAATTAATTTCAAAACAATTGTTCAGTGGTAACATAAAAATACAAAACTAAACACCATCATGTTAAGATCTTATTTCAGGCCAAAAGCAACCATTTTCATGGTACTTCCTTGGGGCTAGTGAATAATGATACAAATTGGATCCATATGACAATGACAGAAATATAAACACAGAACTAATGGTTTACAATTGTACTCCGAACTAGTATGAAAGACAAATTTCTGAGGCCGGAGAAAGATCCACAGCTTTAATGTAGTTTCTTCCTCACATCAAAGTGAATGAGTAAGTTGGGTTCAATGCCACTTTGAACAATGTTCCATATAATGTGAACCTGATGTGGGATGAAACCTTCAAAAAATCGGGTGAATTGGGATTCAAACCTACTATTGCAGGTTTCTGGCATTGCTCGGCATCACAACTTTGTATTATGCAACTTCAGAAAAGAGTGAGCGAGTTTACTTTTACGCCACACTCGGCAATATTCCAGCTATATGACGGGGTCTGTAAATAATCAAGTCTGGACCAGACATTCANCAGTGATCCACAGCATGTATGACATGTATGAACCCACAATTATGAACTCAAGAAGATCCAGGTTAGAACTGGTCTTTAGCAACCCACGCTTGTTGTTAGACACAACTAACAGGATCAGTTGTCAGGCTTGCTGACAAGGTTGATACATGGTATTGTTTCCAAATTGTTTGCCGTGTATAAAATTTCTCACAGCACGTCCTCAACGTGGCTGGAAACATAATCAGGAGATTCATGCCCACCTGATTGTGGTTCTGGCATGTTTTCAACTGTATGGCACATACTCAAACATTATGCAATTTCAGCAAAGCCACGCAAAAGACTCATGACATGTGTGAACACACAATTATGAGCCTGACTGACTGACTGAGTTTGTGGTTTTATGATATGCGATTAAAGCAATATTCCAGCAACATGCGACAAACCAACACCAGAAATGAATGCATTCACACATTGTACCCATGATTAGGATTGTAACCATGGTCAGATTTGGTTTTACCAGCCAATGCCATATTGCATTTAACATCCACTAGGTCGCTATCCATGGCTGAAAGCAGGCCCACAATTATGAACCCATGAAGATCCGGTTAGAACTTGATGTTCATGACGTCAATCACTGGATTGCCTGATTATTTACAGACTGCACAACTAACGAAATCAGGTGGTCAGACTTGCTGACATAGACGAAGCATGTCATCATTTCCCAGTTATGTAGATTGTAACTCATGACGTCAATCACTGGGCTGTCTGGTCCAATCTTGATTATAACAGTCATATAGCTGGAATATCTCCAAGTACTATGTTAAACAAAACCAACAAACAACGACGACTTACATTTGAGTTGTGTGGCCCATGTCAGCTAGAGAAGGAGAGGGAGCAGGACCAAAATGCGAGTTGAAATCCAGGTGTAAATCCTTACGTCTATGAACTGAAAATACTGGAGAATAAATCCTCATTAGATAAAGTACCATGTATTGTCCACATGATGAAGTAATATCAACAATATGAACAATACACAATGACCTGTTTGATTGGCATTTTATAAACTGACGACTAATAAGAAAGTAGGATACTTAATGGATGAGAACTTCTTTATTATCATGATTATATTATAGGACTTTTTGGTACAGGTTCTTATACTGTTGTCCTTATACTGTTGTTCTTATACAAACACTGTTGTGTACCTACACCAAAATGTATAATCATAGTATAAGTTGTCATACCTTTTGTATCCTACCTTTCTTAATACAATATGTCATGATAATAATTATGTTAAACAAGTGTGGATTTGTCATCAAGATGGTTTCTTCAATATAACACATATAACAAGTCTTACTATGTTTCTGGAGTTTATGGAAATCTTTCCAAAAAGAGAGCTCTCTCTTAAAATGGTTACATTCAGTGTTACAAAAATTAAAAAGACAAAAGTTCTTTTAATAACATTACATCTTTCGTTATCTACAATCAAGTAAGCTGGGTTAATTATTCAATTCTGATATTAAGAGACAATGAAATGATCTTTCAAATTTCTAAAAAGACAAGGATCAAAAAGTAATGACTGCACCAAGACTAACAACAGAACACTTGCTTCACCTGAATTCAAATGTGGGTATATTGAGAAATCCATACTTGTTTGATCAAACATGATACATGAGTTTTCAGAACATGCATGCGTGCACATCCCCACACCATCATTTGATACTAACTAAAAGATATCAAAATAATTAACAAATGCAATTTCATTATCTAGCACTTGTGTAACAATAATTAATTCGACAGAATGCATCATTTTTCTAAAAAGCGGTGTCCATGCTTGCATTATGTGTTTAAGGTGTAAAGCTTGAGTTCAATGTTTCATGACTTCATCATTTGGAGTAGTTTAGTTAGTGCTAGCCATGACCACCAAACACTTTGAAGCCTAAATTGGAGATTCAATGGCTGTAACAACTTGAGATGCAATACTTAGCACACTGTAACTTAGTGTAAGCATGGTATGCATGGTGTCAATTTGTATTCTAATTAAAATGTCAAAACAAATCTTACACCATATGATTATGAATGATATCTTTAGTATACAGAACCTACAATTAACAAAACGAATTGTGCACATACGAAGTTTGAAACATTTGGATATCTTGACATTATTCATCAATATGCCTAATGACAACAAAGTTTAGTCCATAAGGGACAACACTTAAACTTGAAAGTTAAGTTGGAAAAGCAGATCTTAGCCAAACAATTGAAAAAAATAAAGACATATTTTCATAAACTTATATCAATTAAAATAAAAGGCCTAATGAACTTGATGTACAAAAATCAGACAATAGAATTTAAACATTTATCAGGATTTCTTCTCAACCAGTAGCATTTTAATCCATGGAACCCAATTTGTTACACATGGTAAAGACAAGATGGACAACTTGAAGAACTTTTAATTCATTCTAAGTAAGCATGTGGGTTAGCTGGCTTTTATGCCACTCTCAGCAATATCATGATGGGGACACTAGAAATGGGCTTCATACATTGTAGCCAATGGGGAATTGAACCCAGGCATTTGATGAGATGAATGAAGTCTTTAAAATGCAAGTCCAACCACCCCTTTTAACTTTGAACACTTACAGTGACATTATTTAACACATTAATAAAAATGTTTGAATGTATCAGTCTTTTTCAGCAAAAGTTATTGTTTTACATTTTTTTGCATCCCATTTCTGATCAAGACATTCTCTTTTGCAACAGTTCAGCTAGTCTACTAGCAACACACATTATCCTGTTGGCCAAAAATATATTCATTCTTCAAGTATTAAACAGAATGAACTATCCATTGACTGTCTCGCTAATATCGTCAAGGATGTGTAAAAAGTAGAAAGAATTATTGCTTGTAAGAACAATGCTTTGCCTAAATTTAATTCCAAATGGAAACCTCTGAACAATGTATTACAGATATAATTATACACCTGACATGTCCATCTTATGAGCGCATCACTGTATATGATTTGTAAAACAATGATATGACATATGTATCTACACCTGCTGAAGTGAAATGAATACAAAGAATGTGAAAAAAAAGTCTTTAAAATGCAAGTCCAACCACCCCTTTTAACTTTGAACACTTACAGTGACATTATTTAACACATTAATAAAAATGTTTGAATGTATCAGTCATTTCAGCAAAAGTTATTGTTTTACATTTTTTGCATACTGGACAGAAAGACAATTTTACACAGTCATTTCCTCATAAACATGAGATGATGTTCACCTTTCACACGGCATGTATACCAGGATATATTGTAATATTTATACACAATGTACACATTGAAGATCTAATGAAAAACAACAACCACACATTGCAGACATGCTCACTCAAAATGGGATATCATTAGCCATGCTAGTGGAGGTCAAAAAACATAATTGTGTTTCATCATGTTCATGGCAACATGGATCTGAAATGTACGGATCAGTAAGTATTTTTTTGTTTTTATATTGTGTTTACAATGCCAAACAGATGGCCAATTTACAACATGGTTTAGGACGGATGTAATTTAATGGTAAAAATAGCTACAACAATGATGGTATGCAGAGATAGTTGGGATGCAAGGGAAACAATGGGTTGTTAAAGGAAACACAAGTATCATAAAGGTAATCAATGTTCATTTGGATGGGGGGGAGGAGAACTGAGCATACTGGACAGAAAGAGATTGTACTAGACTGATGGTTTACACTACTGCCTAGAGAAGCACTGTACTAAAGTACTGTCGGAAATCGAAAAAAAATGTTTTTAGGCTGTTACTCTGTATCCCTAAAATTTACACAACTGCAAATAGCAAATGTCGAAATAACCCACTTCGGCCTAACTTGGCATTCAGTGGGATGCGTAATAGAATATCCAGAAAAGCATGTTTACTCGTAAAATCGGGCAAAACTTAGAAAAAATATGAATAGCTGCTGAAAACTATAGATCAGACTATAGATGGCAATTAGGTCACTGAGCCAGGTATGACGACGGACTGTCAACTCACCTGGCATGAAATGCACATGCTGCCTACAAGCACAAGGGGTCATCTCAAAGATATTTTGTGCTTTTTCATGTGTGTTGACTATGCCTCATCTATCGATTAACATCTTACGTGTCTTTCTTTCATGAAGTTTATGTTGTGATATGTAAAACTAAAAGAGTATGATACCTGATAACCATAGAGACGCATCGTATTGAATGTATTAGGTGGCATGATCACCCGATCGCGAAGATCGACAGGACTGGATGATATTATTTGTAAATTGTTATGACATGCTGTGTACTTCCCCAGTATATTTTCCCTACAGGATTATCTTATCTTAGCTGATATCTCTATCCCCAAGCCCGACCCCAACAATCGGTTTTGCTTTTGAGACAAACCCTCCTATCTGTTTCTTTTTATAGTGACAGTGAGACTCCATGGTAGCTACATCCTTAATAGTTTCAGCATGTAAGTTATTATTTTTTACGCCAGCTATCGTTTATAATGAAGCTACGTCTAATTTCAAATTGGGCATTCAAAAAGTGTCCTTTGTAATACAATATCGTCGCATACACTAATTTGCATAAAGCCATGGTCTGTTCCAAATAAATCGCTTTGGACTTAGAAAAAAACTGCATTGCTCATTTCTGCACTAATCTCTCCTCAGTTAAGTCCATTTTCTACGTTTCTTATGTCCCTACCACTGAGACTTGTAGTTAGGCCGAACTTAGTTTAACAGATATTTCACACTTGCACATATCAACTACATAAATTGTAGAGATAAATGAGAAACTACAGTATTTTTCTATTTCCGACAGTACTTTAGCGTACACTGATCTATTACATAAATTTACAATCTCAAGCATTTCAAGACCAGATCTGTTCCTTGATCATGGTGAATGAGCACTACACCTAGTGAAGATATAATACCATGGTTTTACCTTGACCGACAAAATTAAATGTCTACAGGAACCCCAATTTATAATTTCAAGGGTCCTTTTGTTGGGTCCTGTAAAGTTATGTAATGATGTTGCAGACTGTACAATAAGGTTTAATGATTACTCTAATTACATGAACTTTCTTTTTCTTGTCACGAATTCTGAAGAGTGAACATTACTGTGTGTTCCAAGGGACACAGTCTATGTATGTTCCTCACTTCCATTCTATACATTTGTATCTATTGGGTGAACACTTCTGTGTTACATAAAACCCGGTAATACAAATCCTTTTTCAATGTTGTTCATTAACCTGCACTAATGGTAAAATATTGTCTACGAAAGTCATCTTTAAAACATAAATATGTACATAAGATATTTAAGGTTGCATAAAGAGCATATGAAAAGAACAAGTTATAGTACCCATGCTTCAACTGTGCATACATTAACTACATAATGCACATAGACGAAAACCATGTTAATGTTCGCTTTTCAGAAAGAGGTTTACATATTTCCTCATCCCTCAAAATGTGAAAGTCTTCATACAACCTGTCATCATTTCCAAACACACTACCCCAATTACTACCACTATTACACAACATAGACGCATGTAAACGTAAGGTTAAACACCAATATATTATTTGATTGTAGAGACATCCAACACATAGCAACTGTGAATTTTAATAACATTCTTTTCTCTCAAATTAAACACTTTGATAAATATATTGATGGATAACTGAGTATGATGGCTGTGGATCTTATAAATATAATATATTTGAATCAAGACAAGATCTGTTTCGATAGAAACAACAGGCAAACCATGCCAAGCCTGACAGTTTCATGTGGTGATAATTAGGACGTGGGACGTCAGCAAGAACAAAGTGATATTTCACAATGTCTTTTCGTTCCATATTTTATTTGGTTATTTGTTGGTTTTCTCAAAATATAAGAATCATCCTAATAATTGAAGACAAATGATGGGATAATATTGAATTTATCGTCTATTTTTGAGATTCAATATCTGGTTTCTTTTCACGGATCAACAACAATAAACACGAAATTTACACTTCATTCTTTTGACAGATTCAATAAACATTTCACACCAAGCGGAAATGTGATTACGAGGCTAGTAAACCGATTATCAATGACCGTCAGTAGGGCTTTAACCAAGCCGTAGCGTAACTTTGCATGAAGTCATACAACTTAATGAGTCATAGTAACCAAAAATAGTGGGGCACGACAACGGATTCCCAAACTAGATCAGTGAGCAACTCTACCTTGACTGTCACCCGGTCTTTTCGGGGCCGCCATCTTGAAAAATCGCCTCAAAATTGGTCGAGAAGATATCGCCCGTCCGGAGGGGCGTTATCCCCTATAGGTGTGGTGGTTCGTCCCCGGGACCAGCGGTTGTCTGTCGAAACAAACGACGGTGTCCTGAGCTTATAGGAAATATGATTGGGTGCTGATGTTCATTTCTCGGGATGACTCATCCACAGTTCTACTCGGGAAAATCCCTTGACGTCACAGGCAACTCACAGTCGTTCGTGACCCTTCGTTTGAGTGAAACCGTGATCGGAAACAAGCGTACATTGCCGACTGACTGCTTCGTTAAACTCCGTGTTAGTTTGTACAAATTCCGCTAGATGGCGTATCTCCATCGATATTATTTCCCTGACCCGCTTGGACGCATCTCGTACTAGATATGTGTCATCATCTCATGGTTTAAAAACAGGTTACATTTTAAAGCTGTACCAATGTAAAACTAAATTTAAAATGTACATTTTGTACCAGATTGAGTTATAGTTGCGTGATATATGACATCACGTTCATATATATAATCGGAAACAATGTGAGTTTTGATACAAAGAGTATCTTTCATCAGCTGTGTTTTCAAATGATATTTTCTTAAATCGGGATAGTCGAACAAGCAATTTATATCTTCATACCACTTTGAATACCCAAGCTTTATCTTGGATATATATAACCAAGTCAACACTGAATATCTGACAAAAGAACACCTGTATAATATTTGGGTTATCAAGGGTAGACAACTCTAATCCCAAAATGACAGGTGCCCGTTTGATGCGATGTTCGCTGGTGGAGTACCCGTCTTTAATATTTGCTCAAAATTAGTCATCGTCTATCTTTCTTTTTTAAATCAAATGAACATTATATTTTAAGACATGAATAATATTAAACAAACAATGATAGTAAGTGTGTTATTTTGTATGGTTTTATTATTGGACGTAAAAATCTTTATCGTATGGTTTTTGTTACCGTTGGAATGATGTAAAATATAACAGTTATTAGACAGCGTTTAAAAGGAATCTAAACAAGTTATTTTGAAAATGGAATTTCAACCAGACACGTTATGTACATTTGAGGATTAAATGATGTTATTCAACTTTAAAGGGATCGGGAGACAGGCCTAATTGGCATATACAAATATTATAACCGCTCTCCGTTACATAATTAATTATTAGCCAAGTCTGTCCGTGTGCTTATTATTTTTTGTTTTGTTTTTGAGCTCTTAAAGATAGCAATCGAGCATTCATCGTAGTCGCTGCTTAATGACATAACGATTACACTTACATCAAGTTTTCTTAAATATTGTTACCGGTCGATTTCTAAGTCGAAACAATCATTTAACCCTGAAATGTACACGCAAAATAATTCATTGTGCAACCAGAGACAAGAAAGAAATGTATTACAATTAACAGTGATATTCTAAAATTAACTAGGTTTTCAAATCAATACAGGGTCGGTGGGGTGGCCTAGTGGTTAAAGCGTTGGCTCGTCACGCTGTAGACCCTGGTTCGATTCTCCACATGGGTGCAATGTGTGAAGCCCATTTTTTCTTGTCCCCCGCCGTGATATTGCTGGAATATTGCTGAAAGCGGAGTAAAACCATACTCACTCGCTCAAATCAATACAAATCATTGCAATGTGATTTCAATGGTGGTGGTAGTACAACACTCAGTGGAGTTACAATTACAGCGGCAGTATAAAATATCATAGTAGTGGTAATGGCCATAAAGTCAGTGACAATAATAGTCACCTACCAGCAACAGTGGTCTAGCTTCCAAACAGGCTGGGTATCCAGGGTGAAAGTACCGCAATCTGAGAATATTTCGCTCATATGACGACCTGCATGCGTGTGGATGTGTATGTGCGGCTGCTTGTACTAGCCCAGACTGAAGCTGGCTTTATAGTGCTAGCCCACTGAGATACCATGCCGCAGTGAAGCATGAATACCCCACTCAGACACATTATACTGACTCCGAGCCGACCAGTCCTTGTTGTACCCATTAATGCCGAGCGCCAGGCAGGGACCAACAAGTACCATATTTTAACGTCTTTTGGTATGACGCGGTCGGGGATCGAACCCGCGACCTTCCGCTCTCCGGGCGGACGCTCTAACCACTACACCACGGAGGCGGTCCCGCAATTTGAGATGACACAGACATGTGTTTGCCCCGTATACTCCAAGTATAAACTTCTGCCAAACCATATTAAGTCACTTTTAATCGTTCCCGTGGTGTCGTGGTTTTTCAGCATCCACCATTTTATCAACAGACCCTCTTTGTTTATAAAACACACGTGTAACGTATGGACGTATATAAGGAGTTAGGCCCGTTTTAGATTTATTCCTGCCATAGTACAAATGGGCCACCAAGAAAAGGTTTCCATGTTTGGGTCAGAACTAGGTTCTATGTCCTGGGAATCCAATACATTTACCACAAGGCTAATAGGCCACGTCGGTAGGAAAACAGTACTTGGCATTATTTTGAAGTTATATATTTTACCGACAGCACGTGTTAACTTTGATTTAATTTTAATTACGGTTTAATATTTGTACACTAGCCAAGCGGAGACTCGGCCATGATGATATGTGGCAATACAGAGTGTTGAGTTTCGTCAGTGGCAGCAAATAACTGAAGCGCTGGTAAAATGTCGGAAGATATAGAAATAATAATAATAATAATTGATTTATAGAGCGCCTATTTCCAAAAGATATTGCTCAATGGCGCTATAAAGAGAACAGATTGTAGACAATGTCTATGGAAAAGAGAGTTTGAAAAGATGAGTTTTGAGGGCAGTTTTGAAAGCGTCAGCAGATTCTATTTCTTTTAGGGCGAGTGGTAGGATGTTCCAGAGATAGGGGGCTTGAGATTATCACCGCTTTTAATAGTAGTCTAGTTGGAGTCGCTGTCAACTTAATGTAGGAACGAGACCAGGTGATGCATGTCAGACGTGTACCACTTTGGCGCATACAGACCAAGAAACCGGGATTCGAACCTGCAGTCATAGGTTCCTGGAAGGCTCAAGGGACACAACTCTACACAGAGAGTTACGAACCGGGATTCGAACCTTTAGTCCTAGGTTGCTTTTATGCTCAAGGGACACAACTCTGCACAGAGAATTACGGCGTCTTAGACGTCAGGACCACCTGTGTCCTTGGGTTGTTGGAAACAAACAACACGATTCGTGAAGTTTCAAGATATTACAGTTTCTTCAAGGGATGCTGTTCCTGTACAAGAACAACGCCAGGTCGTTTGAAGTCCTTTGTCTCATTGACTTTCGTCTGATCTGCTTGTCTGATAATGATCGGACTCTATGGAAACTGAATTCGTACCAGCCAACAAAATGGGGATTGGACAACAAGCCCGTTTAAAGACATTCGATAGTGGAAGATTCTGGACAATATGTGAATACACCGTCACATGTGTAGGGTCTGTTTGTAATTGTGGCTGTCTCCGATTTGGCCCCTCGTATTGTCTTTTGTGATTGTCGTAAGAGGCGACTAACGGGATCGGGTGGTCAGGCCCGATGTTTGGTTGACACGTCATCGTATCCCAATTGCGTAGATCGATGCTCATGCTGTTGATCACTGGATTGTCTGGTCCAGACTAATTACATGTATTTACAGACCGCCGCCATATAGCTGGAATATTTCAGTGTGCGGCGTAAAACTAAACTCACTCGCTCATTTTGTGATTGCCACCCTAAAAATGTGTATTTCAATATGAAAAAGGGTAATCACTCATTGAACGTCTGTAGTAATTTACTGACACCACAGTCTAGCTCTGTGCCATTTCTGGATTAATATAACCTTTGTGTTTCAATTTGACAATCACCTCGAAACGATGGACTGTGTTATAAACATAGCGAGACGCTTCTCCCTGAACCAGGGCAGGTGAGGTGAAATTGGGTTTAACGTCGTGCTTGAGAATATTTCGCTTTTATGACGACGTGCATGCGTGTGTATGTGTATGTGTGGCTGCTTGTACTAGCCCAGACTTAAGCTGGTTTTATAGTGCTAGCCCACTGAGATACCATGCCGCAGTGAAGCATGAATACCCCACTCAGACACATTATACTGACTCCGAGCCGACCAGTCCTTGTTGTACCCATTAATGCCGAGCGCCAGGCAGGGACCAACAAGTACCATTTTTTAACGTCTTTTGGTATGACGCGGTCGGGGATCGAACCCACGACCTTGCGCTCTCCGGGCGGACGCTCTAACCACTACACCACGGAGGCAGTCCCTGAACCAGGAAGCAATAGGAAGCAGTACAGCTGAAGTCTCGAATGATTGGTCAATTCTAGACCGTCTCAGCACAAGGCCATGAATAACGATTTTTCCGGACTCCTTTTGGATTTTCTGTATTTAATTTGTAGATACACATTTTCAAATATACTTCTCACTAGTTTAGACTCACTAGTGTAAATATAGCCACTTACTTCAGGCAACTGTTCTAAACTAAATTTTGCAAACTGTGCCATACTGCTTAAAGGTACTGTTTACACATGAACTGATGTATTGTAAAACAAATTCGTAACGTTGAAAAAATTATTGTCATGAGTTCAGTAAATGATGAAAATTGGTGAAAATTGGCGAGTTCTTAACAAAACGGTACACCACAACGCAGCTGTTCACGTGCACGATATTTGCACGTGCTTTTCAGCAATTTGATGCATGATTCTCGCGCAATTCATCTGCATAAAGTTTGCAGTTGGTTCCCCCAAGTTAGTGGAGAAATCAATCTTCGATGTAACCATATATATATATGCATAACATATAGTGAGTGTTTTCATTGAGTCTACATTTCAAGGTCTAAATGTACACTTACATTAACAGACGCACGCGACTTGTCAGATTGACAGAAGCAGTCATACAATCTTCCCTTCTCGCCAACGAATTTCGACGAAAATATTGATTTCCCATAATTTACATGCAGGCGAAACGTCCCACCCCCTAAACACCAGAGTGACAGAAGACATAACATATATCACCAAATTAGACTGACATTCTTCCATCTTTCGCCTTATCTCCATGGTCCCTGAACACGAGATCAAATGTGACAATGTAAAAATCTTATCACACACACTCAATGACTTCAGAAAAAGAACTGGCAGAACCAGTTGATATCCGCCGACAAGCCCTCAATCAAAAGAGACTAAGGGTACCTCATCCCATCCACCCACATAAACTGATAAAACCACAGAGAACCCGAGCTATCATCCCTAATTAATCATGTCGGCT